GTTCCTACTATCAATGTTAGAATGTTCTTCACTTAGTTTAGACATATCGAAATTCTCCAGTCCTGTTTCACCATTCTCATTCCCTTCGATGTACAAGCTTCCTCCATAAGGCAGGACCCAGTACATGCGGCGAAATCTGTCTTGACCCAAGTACAAGGCTCGTAGTGAGTGAGAGGATGTGAACAGCTTCGAGCGAAACTGAACTTGTTTCTGAAAAGAACAAACATAGAGTGATGTTTATTGTGGCTTCAATGGTACTACACCTCATGGTTGGGAATGCGATGCGAGATTAACTAACACGTAAAAAGTGGTAAAGTTGGTGTGGGGGCAGTCTCCACCTACAACAGGGAGCACACCACTTTTTGCCCTTACCAAATCTACTAGAACTTACTCTTGGGATCATCTTTAAACATCTAGGCATGCAACCATTTTTACAAGTTTAGAAGCTAAGATCCCGAACCGCTACACTTCGATACCCTCCCCCCCCCCCTCCCACCGATGCATCCTGCCTCAATCGTCCGTTACGTCCCACTCCCTCCATCATCATCATCTACAGTACTTACCTTTTCCAGCTTTTTTATTCGTTTTTCGAACTCTTCTAAAGTTTCTGGTTCGGCTTTCTCCTACAACATAGACAATATTTCCAATGTAATATTAAAGTATCTACAGAGTATGTTAAAATAACTGGTGATAAATGCTAAATAACCTTTTCCTGTTTTCATATACAGAAAGTGGTGTTTCAATGTCCGGACTCCCGAAATGATGAATACGAACATCTTTCATTTATGCTTGCACATCACATAAGTTTGTTTCACTACGCACTAGCCTTTCACATAGCCAACTCGAATTGATCAGAATGAGTAATGTTTTTCATTATACATATGAATAATAGTCTCGTGTGTGGAGGCAAATAAATCGAATCGAAAACATGTTTCAAGTGATATTGTATCAACACAGCTGGAGGAAATTCCAGGACTTTCAAGGATCTCTATTAACTTTCAAGGACTTTCCTGGCTTGGACTTTGCAGAATGAGCGTAGGAAATCTGGGTTAAGTCTGAAAGTTATGTTCTGGTTTTATTACCACATCTGCCGTGGTCACAATCTTTAGATCAGTGCACATACCTCGTCCCCAGATTCATCATCAGAATCATCCTCATCATCATCTCCCCCTTCGTCTTCCTCTCCAGCTTCATCATCATCTTCGTCATCATCTTCCTCTATTTCTTCGTCATCATCATCTTCATCGTCATCATCATCATCACTGCCATCACTTCCCTCATCTTCAACCACTTTCCTCTTTCGTTCTTTCTCGTTTGGTGTTGTTGTTGCTGTAGTGGCTTGAGTGCTTGCTTTCTTTCCAGGGCTTTTCTTTTCTTCTGATGCCGTTGTTTTATTTGGAATCTTGCTTTCTGGAAACTTTTGTTGCTGTAGAGCTTTCAATCTAAGTATAAATAACATTTCTAGTACTCTATTCCACTCAACATAGTTCTATTCTATTTCTATTCCGAATCCAATCTCAGTCCATTCCAATATTCTAATACCATTCTAATTCCATTTAATTCTAATCCCATTCTTTTTTAAACTAAATTTCAATTTCATCCTAATTCTATTCTAATCCCATTTCGATTCCATTCTAATTCCAATCCATTCTAATTCCATTTTAATTCCATTCCCATTCTAATTCCATTTAATTCCATTTTAATTCCATTGCAATCCCAATCTAATTCTATTCTGATTTTACTCTAATTTAATTTTATTTTATTTCTACACTGGAGATGCTAAGCATCAGGGGCTAGCACGAGCAGGGCACATTACTATTAGTCCTTAGCCGTCTGTTAATTACAATCTATAAAGTGCGTAATAAGATGATGCGGAGAAGTGGTGGGATTTTAATAACCAGTGAAAAAGTTCCGAGACGTATGTATTTGCATACGTACCAAACGAATTGTGTACTATTGGTTATTAGTTATTACTATTGGTTATGATTTATGGTATCCACTTACTTCCTTAGGTTTCCTTCAGCAATCCACTTGTTGTGTCGAAGTGAAGACATATATTCGATTTTACTTTCAATCTCCCTGCATATTGTTCTTCCACATAACAGCTCATTGCAAATAAACGCCAACGACCCAGCTTTCTGAGAAGGACTCAACGCTGTGAAAGGTTTATCCGTTAAAGAATCTGAAATCTGTAAAGAGAAATAGCACTACAGTTAATTAAAGACGGGATACAACTGAGACAAGACATGCAGAGTGCGTGGGTTCACTTAGAACCTTCGTTCTGCAGATAGTGTGATCAATACTAGATTCCCCTTATTACGTTTTCGTAGCGCTTTGCATTGTGGTTATAGTGGTATCACTGATATTCAAGATGGCTTATCCGGTCCTGACCCGTGGAAGAACTTTTAAAAAAAGCTAGGGTCAGGTGCGCGATGGCCAACAGCAAAATATTCGCGAAAACATTCAATATTTTTATTCGAGGCCGCTATCCTTATCAGTGATACCACTATAACCACAATGCAAAGCGCTACGAAAACGTAATAAGGGGAATCCTCAATTGAGTCAGAAATGTTAATTCTTTTCATTATATGAAATAGTCCTGTATTTGGCGACAAATACATAGTTTACATGTAATTTGCTTTCTCCAATGTCAACATGCAGTTCTGAAGCCAACTACCATACTACCATCTGCTTCCCCGTAACGCTTACCGAATCCCTCCAATGCACTTACCAATGTTAACCCCACGAGGGACAGGCAACACACACGTGTGTATCTGACAATTGCCTTCGCCCATACATGGGGGATTTGACATTGATCATCTTCACATGGGAAGAGGAATTTACTTATGTCGGTAACTTATTGGTAACTTAACCTTGTCAGAAGGTCGTTTTAATTACCAAACAATATTTGAACGAAAAAATGTATTTACTGTATACAAGTACCTCATTTGGTTCAGCATTTCGAGCAATAATGAACAATCTCAAGATCTCAGATACATTACTTTCGTTTACTTCAACTTGATCGAGTTTTACACCAAGTGCTGTTTCAGCCTACACATTTAAGCAGAAAGTGTAAACGTAGTAAAACATTTACATAGTAAACAAGTTACTTTATTTGCGTTGTTCATGAAAACAAATATTTAAATGCAGTACATACATTCAGTATAACAACACAAATGACTTATAGTTGTTATAGATGCACAAATTCATAGCTATTTCTACTTACACATGGTCCCTCGACTCCAGGATCATCCAGAGCAGCCAACAACATAGTTTGACATAATGGCGTGATTACATCTTCATCATTTTCATTCAGTAATGACCCTTGCATGTCTGCCATACTTGGTACTTCATTGTCAAAATCTAGACAACACAATCGGTAAAATACCTTCCGTCAAGTTTTCTGTTTCTATTTTATACAGTATAGTATGTCTCACTTTTTCGTTGTGTACGCCTTTCAAAATGTCTCTGCTATTGCAAATACAGGCTTATTTATTACATCACACAAATGAAACAAAACTCATACAGGCTGTCCGATAAATAGACCTTAGAAGTGCTTACGTCACGCAATTTTCAATCCATCAAAACATTAGGTATACGCAATGCAATGAGGGATATATGTGGGTCAAATATTCATTGTTTGACAGTGACGTGATGTAAGGATTTCTAAGGACAACTTAGGGTTGCTTGAACAGAAAATTCTAATTTTGATTTTTTCTGTTTAAATATACTTCTTCTATGATGATATTTCAACTTATGGGGGAGGGTGTGTAGGTAATATGGTACCAACAGGCCATGATAAGAACCTATTAAGAGCTAAGATGAGGTGGAGCATCTTAACTGAACAAGCGTAGAATGTTCATTTCTGTGCAATATTCGGTCGTGAGTTTCTTCGTCTGAAGGTTAGCAGTTAAGCTCTCGAAACATCAAAATCGTTTTAACATTTTTCAGGCACAGTAGTTCAGACAGGAACCACGGCAGGTTTTCCCCCTATAATCTTACCAATATCCAGCGCTGTACCAAAGTTGTGGAGAAATTCCTGGACCATACAAAGATCAGCAAAAGCACTTCCGGAGATCTTAAGATCCTTTACTCTTGTCAGTTCTGGCAAAGGCTGAAAATAAAAGACGTAGGCTGGTTACATATACGTATACTGTACGTACTATAACACATGCATTCCAAAGGTCGTAGGTACGATTCCCACCGTGGCCAGGCATATTTTTCAAGCTTGTCCGGTGTGGATATACACTCACAAACAACATGGTAGAAATCGGCAATATATGAATTTTTAACAAACATCTTGGCAGGAAATATTCTTACACCTTGCAGGAAATTTTTGTCATCTTATATACTGGAATGCCATATAATTTACTCATTGTTCAAAAATTCCAAAAGCGTTTTATAAGTCGAGATTGAAATTTATCATATAGAGCTATATATTTATTATATAGAGCTCTTAGGGAAATTTAGAGTACTTAATTTAGAACGCTGCACCGGAATCGCAGGGCCGCGTTCGACTCTTTCCAGGGACATAAAGTTGCATTTTTCGCAGCTGTTCCTGGTTAGGTCTAATAAACGTGTATAAATTTCCACTCGATAATTTCCATTTATAATATTATTCAACTATTATTCAATCGAGTGAGACGCCAACAAACGTCTGTGCGAAAATAAAATATACTGCTTGTCTACGTGAGCCTTACCTTAGCGTCCCTCAATACCATGTCTTCAACAGGTTTCTTAAGCTCACGAGATAAAATCATTTCTCTACGTTTTTGTTCCTAATACAAGAAAGAACATGGTGTATTAATCGCCACTGCAATTGATATAGTATATACTAAAGTGAAGTAGCAGCTAAACCTGCGTTTTTTAAATTACTAACCAACTTGCGTTCTTTGACCAATTTCTTCGCTCTTCTTTTCTCTTCTTTAAGACGTTCTTTTTCCTGCAATTTCATAGAGTTCATTCTAATGAAATGTGTTTTTAAAAAAGTCAATAAATACTGTTGTGGACAGCAGTTGCAGAGCCAATGTATTATACCTCCCACGAATAATCCGCACCCTACCCATTGCCATGAGCTGCACTATAGAATACAACATATGTTTATCTCATTACCTGAGCTTTGAGAAGTACAGCTTGTTGTCTCTTTAATTCTCTTTCCTAGAACAAAGAAGAAATATTTGATTTCATACTTTTCAAATTCATCAATAATTTGGTAAAGACCCAACTCGGATCAGACAAAACAACAGGTAATGAAAATTAAAATCACATTTAGTTGATAAAGGGAGTAAGGAGCAGAAAATACATGTATATACAGTAGCCAGCGTCCAGGGCCGTAGGGTATGAAGGTGTTACTGCCCCCTGGTGAAAAATCCTACTTACGGCCCTGCCAGCGTTTACATCTCCTGCTTATGATGTAAAAATAATATTTACATGCACTCTCCAGCTAGTAAAAACAACAATACCTTAGCTTTCCTCATGGCTTCATGGTATTTGGCATTCGCTACATCTTCTTTCTTCTTTTTTCTCGCCTAGAAAGTAATTCAGTTTTCTCAGAAAAATTAAATAATTCATAAGCAAAACACAAAAGAAGACAGCATCTTATACGAGTGAGCTTAAAACTACGTTTACACGCTACGATTAATCGTGTACGATTCGTATTCTGGCGTATTAAAATGAGTGCTGGCGCCATAATTCATTGCCGTTTCGCAGTGAACTCTAAGAGAACTGGAACGATAACTTGGCCGCCATCTTTGAAGCCACTCATGATGGCCGCCATGTAGGTATGGAGTGGAAAATACGCCGCCTAAAAGATGTCTGTTTTCGACCACTAAATAGCTGTATTTCAACAAGGAAAAAAGCTAAAAACTTTCAACAATACCTGAAATTTAATACAAAACATGTTTCCAGAACGTAGAGCAGTTATAAAGTTCTTTTTTCAGGAGTCAAAGTGCGAAGTTTTTTTCGGCACGTTCAAACTGTGTAATATTTTGAATATCAAGCTGTTACCCAGGAAGTTTTTGCTGTTAGTGGATGTAAAACACTTAGAACTATCCAGGAAACCAGGTTTGAATCTTTAAAGTTGAAGACTTTCGATAAAAGTGCTTTTTCTTGCTGATTTTCGCTCAAAAACAAACTTTTGACTGAATTTCCCGCTCCTCGAAACTCTCCCCAGTCCTTTTGAAAGTTAATTTATTGCTCGCTGAGCTTGCGAGAAGCGCCATCTTGGCTTCGGGCAAGTATGGGCATGTTTACCTGCAGTTAGCGTTCCAGTGTTATTACAGTTCACTGCCGTTTCGTTAAAAAGAGATTTCAAATGTAGCCAGCTTATGCGTGTTTACTCGATGACATACGCCAGAAAACGAATCGTACACGATTAATCGCAGCGTGTAAACGTAGCTTAAGCAAGCGACGTTTTTGTCAACACGCACGTCATCTGAAAATTGACATAACTAATTTTGACGGCATTTTGCATCATAGCGCTTGTGCAAGGAAGTAAAAAACTTTAAAAATGTTATGTTTTGTCATATGTGTTGAAGATTACCACAAACTGATATAAACACAGTTTTTAATCCAATCCCCCCTCGGCAGACGTCCGTGTTGACAAAAAAAGTTCCTTGCTTAAGCTCCCTAATAACGAAAATAACCCCTCGGCTTAAAGGCACAGTTCAGCCTGTTGAACGATGGTTTTTAAGGCGCATTTCAGCCCTGTTAATTGAAAAAACTAACTAGGAAAATCAATCAAGCTTAATTCAAGGTCACCAATCTTAATGTTTTTAACATTTTAAAACATTCATATTGTTAAAAATATCGAGTTTACTGATTTTGAATTATGCTTAATTCATTTTCCTAGTTAGTTTTTTCAATTAACAGGGCTGAAATGCGCCTTAAAAACCATCGTTCAACAGGCTGAACTGTGCCTTTAACGTCACATTTCTGTCAAAACAATGTATGATTGCGTGGCATGGTCAACGATGCACACCTCTCTATAGTAAGCACGAGCATGCCCTATACTTATTATTTTATCTATATTTCTTTCTCAAAACCACGGAGAGTATTGCATGTTGGTGTTTACGACAGTGGTGTTTTTCAATTTATTATTAGAATTTATTAGTTGTAATACTTAATAATTATTATGTTCAGTGTCTACAGTACATTGATAGCAGTAATTCTTACTGATGTAGCTATCCTGATTAAATATAGATCAAACAAACAAGCAAACAAAACAATGAAAAGACAATGGAACATACATTCCAAACAGTGAACTGTAACTGTATGAAGTACCATATCATGATACTTTACCTCCATCAGCTGTTGAGCCTTCACTTCCTTTTCTAATTTTTGTTTTTCAAGTTTCTGTAGTTTTTGCTAAAAAGAGAACAAACCCGCAAGATGAAAAGCATTTATCTGGACTGAAAGTTCATCAGTAATACATCTGAACTATACAAGATAGTTTCAGACCATTACCAAGTGTTTTAATTGTCGTACTTCCTCTTTGGATTTTTTCTTCTGTTCAGCTACCACACGAGCTAAAAACAAAGAGCATGGTCATTGGTTTCACGTTACGATGCAGCAGATACTTACTTAGCCTAGACTATTTATCTTTACAACAATTGAGATATTACTTTCCTATGTTTATTTCACCTAATGAGTACCTACTGTAGTAGTTCACCTGGCGAGTACCTAGTAGTTCACCTATTGGTATAGTTAAAAGTTAACTACAGGAGTTCGCTTCTATACTGTAAAAATCTCTTACCTCTTTCTTTCTTGGCTTGCTTCGCAGCCTGAAGCATTTCTTGTTTTTCAAGTTTCTGCTGGAGTCTCTCTTGAGCTAGTGCAGAGTTAATTTAAAAATTTTATGTTACTTTTTAACAATTCATTTATGAGATACAGATGTTCTTACATGTTAATCACTTGAAACCAGTGCAGGAAGACGTCCCTCTATGCCGAAAGTACAAGTATTAACAAGGTACGATTTTTCTTTTCTCTGAAGGAAATACAGTAGATTTGCTCCTGGTTCAGTTTCTTACTATAATTAACTTATTTTAAAGATTTTCGTTTTGCTCACTTTGTTTCCGAGATATTTGAGTTTGTTTGGTATGCAAATATCCGGAATTCACGTCACAAATGCATAATGATTTAAAGTAAAAGTTTGTATATCGTATTCACCATCGAGTTTAATTCATTAAAATGAAGTTTGGAGTTGTGATCAGTCATTATTCATATGTGACGTAAATTCCGGACATTTGCATATCAATAAAACTGAAATAACTCCGAGACAAAGTGTGCAAACGAAAATCTTTAAAATAAGTTACAATATCATTTCAAAGGTTCTTAGGAATGAGATGTTAGAAGAATTGAGGTTAGGTGCACTTTAATAGTGATATAGCATCTTAACTCATCTGTCATTACCTTTTCTTACTTTCGCCTGTTTGGAAGCTTCAATCGCAGCTTGTCGCTCAAGTCGACGATGCATTTTAGCTTCAGCAATTTTCTGAGCATTTTCTGTCAAAGGGAATCAATAGCGGTTTCTATTTGGCAGTGACATGCACGCAATTTATAGCAGTGTAGTAGGTGTGGAAGTACTGCATGCTACAACATGGTGAACGAAAGGGTCATTGTCAGTACATTGAGAGCAAAAATGCAGCGTGAAGCTAGCCACATCCAGCAACTAGTCAAGCTACGCATCCTTCAATTATTAATGTACACTACAGTACTCGGAGGTTTATAATTATATTCGTCATACTATCTAAAAGCACGTTTAAGACTACTTTCGTCACTGTAAAAATGTAAAGTATACTGCCAGTCAAAGGATTTTTTCATTGCATACATCGCAAGTATACCTATATATGTAAAATTTTCCCTACCTTGCTGTTCCTTCTTTTTCTCTTTCCGTTTATTTAACTTTGCTTGCCTTTCGTGTTGTTTTTGCATTTCCAATGTTTTTCGTTCCTGTATCTCTTCCTCAGTAAGGACACGAAACTCATTACCCTGAACAAATACACCTTTCCTGTTGAAGTCTCGCAATATACTTTACCTCACTGTACCGCAGGGCTCGAAATAGCGGCCTGCCAATGGCAGTCCGTACTTGAGAAATGGCAGGTGAAAATAAACCGCCAAGTCAAAATTCATTTGCTGATCAGCTAGAGTATTAAGGCACTAATCAACTTTTGCCTAAACCTGTCGCATGCAACCTGCTTACAACTTTGAGTTGTACTGCGCAAATCAAGCACACAACTCAGCTACGACAACGTAAGCCGTGTTGGGAACGTGTTGGGTGCTTGATTTACACAGTACAACTCAAGTTGTAGGCAGGTTGCATGCGACAGTTTTAGGCAAAAGTTGTGTTGTTGAACCAAGTTGAACAGTTCGTAGAGCAAATATTTATATAAATTATTGAAATGCATGAAAATCATGTTCATTTCTTTCACAGCTGAGTGGGATCATTTTGGCAGTTCAAAAATAGAAATTACAGGCAATAATTTATTTCCCCTGGCAAAAAGAAAACAGTTTGTCAGGCCGGCCATATTTTTTCTATTTCGAGCCCTGTGCATCTTAAACCATTTTTTACATGATTTACGGTGGTAGTGGAGGGAGGACCCCCACAAAAATTTGCATCCTGTCCATCAGATGTATGAGCCTGGATCTACAGTACCAATATTTACATACAAAAGATGTGGTAACATACATACTGTACCACTTGCATCAAATGTTTACAGTATTACTTTACAATTTATGATATTCATTTATTGCTGTATTTGACCTTTAACAACAGCAATTGGCTCATTTGGCTGTTTAAATAGGTTGATTCCATTGTACTGTAATATGAAGATCTGGCCTTACAGATCATACGTTTTGCAAAATAAACAAACAACATTGATGGTGCTTCCTCAAAAACAATAACCCGAATTTTTTGAAGAGATGATGCTCTTTACAAATCGAAATTTGTATATTATATATACAGCGACAATCAAACAGTCGAAAATTGGTCAGAAAAGTGACGTCACCACTGTTGCTATGGCAACAATGACGATTCAAGATGGCCGATATTTTGGCTTTGAACGCATTTTACTTTAAAAAAAGGTCGGCGTTACCCCCATTTTTTATTTCAGAAAACATTTTCTTATAGTACAATACACTATCTGACAGGCCTGAATATAATTTTTTGTGCCCTG